AGAGAGAGAGAGAGAGAGAGAGAGAGAGAGAGAGAGAGAGAGAGAGAGAGAGAGAGAGAGAGAGAGGCGCAACGATTGTTTTCAAGTAAGTGAGATTCTATGAAATCCGGAGCCTCAGGGGCGAGGTCGCAGTAGCAAAGAGGGTTGGAATTAATGCCCGAATGTGGACGTGGTTGTGGAGAGGTGCGGAAAATCGCGATTGATATGCTTTTCTGCATCTCTGCTTACACCCCTCCAGATTTAGGCGAGGCGATTAACTCTCAGGGGAATCAGGCATTCTGAGTACGGCCTGTGGCGAGGTCCTGCACAAGCGAAGAGGAGTCGATTCAGCGCGTGAATCTGGATGTGATCTATGGAGAGATGCGGAACAGTCGGTCAGTTGTAATCTTCTGCACCTGTCGACAAACACACCCAGATTCAGAAAGACGTTAAAATCCAATCCTATTTGCTACTGGGACCTTGACCCTGACGTTTGTTTCCGTGCATTTGCTGCCATCATGTTGAAAGCCAACAGTGAGAAGATTCTTTAAATATTCTTTTTCTTTGTCTTTGTCATTTAGGATTCAAACCGTCCAGAATGCTGATAAATCTGAGAATGAATCTGACCATGAGTAGATGAGTAACGATGAATCTGACCATAAATCTGATCTTGTGCATGCATCTGCAGGACAGACTCTACAGGAGAGAGCCGGCGACAGAACGAGCGAGAGAGAGAAGAGCTCGCTCCATCGAGGCAGCAGCAGACACAATCCTCATTATACTTTCTTGCTAATCTTTATACCTTCTTGCTAATCATTATTTTTTCTTGCTAATCACTATATTAGTATATCTTCTTGATAAACCCGTGATGCCCAATCGTTATATCTTCTTGCTAATCATTAATTTGATCTTCTTCTTGCCAATCGTTAGACAATGCCGATCATTGGACAACCCCAATCATTCAAACAGAGAAAGATAAATGCGGATGGAGGGGGAGGGGGGGCCATGACATGTTATCTCCTCTTATCTTGTTGTCTCGGAAGGTGTACTGACACTAGCTCTGTCTTAAATGTATCTGACTGATCTGTGAGGTAACACACCAGCATCTGAGGTATCTGACCGCGATTAGGGCCAGATTCCGTCCACAAAGTTACAAGTCTGATGAGTACGACCTGAGTCGCAACGAGGCAATCAACACATCCCAAAACTCCAGATTGAGGAGAGGCCCTGAGAGTGTGCTGTGCTCAGTCTTTCCCCAAGCAGCTATGGCGTTTCGACCCAAAGGCTTGACATGGACTCAGCCTCCGGCCATCAGGAAGCGGCTGCACAGAAGTCTTAGCTGGAGCAAGCAACCAAAGCTGCCAAAGCCTAACTGCTGGTTTGATTTCAAACGCTGCCTGAGTAATCTCGAGTCACAAGTCAACCAAATCCGGTGGCAAACGGATCGTCAGCTGTACTTTAGCACATTAGATCCTAGCCCAGATACTACTACTACTACTACTCATAAAGGTCAGCCGAAGCAAAATAGTGTACGTGGCATTCTGCAGACCGAGCAGAAGAAGGCACCGGCAGAGGCTACCAGTCGTAGCAGGCGGAAACAGGAGGTAGTCCACGATCATGGCGCTCCGCGGTGGTCCGCGGACAACCCGCCGCCGCCATCTGTGCAAGCGTCATCGGCAACGACCGTACGGTTTGCAGCAGACGGGAGCAAAGAGCGTGAGGGCGTCGTCATTACCGAGGAGGAGTTTCGGGCGCTGGAGGCACAGGTTCGAGACCCGACCGAACCTCCCTGTTTTCCTGTGGAGCTGCGGGCTGCTGTGAAAATGCTGGAGTTTGCCCTCGCTCATCCCTTGTCCGGAAAGAGCGCCAAAGTTTGGAACTACCAGAAGCCGAATCGGCTCGCTGCGGTGCGATCAGAGGAGAACAGGCGGGCTCGCATGAGGCGTAGAGGAGTGGGAGAGGGAGGGGGAGGGGGACGGGGAGGTGATGGAGAGGAGGAAGATGTGCGCGAGAAGGCGATTGCTAAGGAGGGGGCAAAAATGAGGTATCAGCTTGCACGGGAAGATCGTGTTGTTGCCACGATTGAGCACATTCTATCCAGAATGAAAACGCGGCTTCTATTAGTTGAAAGAGATTTGCAACTGGCATTGGCTTCTTCGACCAAGAGCAAGCCATTCTCGAAGCACCAGAAGGCACAAAATAGATGACCTAGCTAGGTAATCATCACGACTCAAAAACTCTTTTTAAAACGAAGGCGCGAGAAAACTGAGGGCATACTCACACTACCAAAGTTTCGTGGGAAAATCCGGTCGTAATTGCGGTCAGATTCTTCACCCAACCCCTCTTCCCCCGAACACAACGCCCCTGCATCATGATGGCTGTGTTCGGACCGGAACAGGACTTGCATACTGTTATGCTGATAGGAGGCGCTATGTTCAAGGAAAGAAGGTAGTGTGATCATCCTTCAAACATACTAAGTCTTATCGGCCGCGGGCCGTCTGTTTGACCTCAACTGGGGTGTTTGGCTGTCCGATGTAAGATTTGTTGT